TTTATATTGTATTTGTATTCAAAAAATAAGGATCAAAAAATCGTATATAACATTTTTGTCGTTTTCAAAAAGAATCAACCATTTGCTGGAGGCAGTCACATAATGACTATTTACAACAATGAAGCAAAATACATATATTTTTCCGAATTGATTTTTATTCAATACAGTATTCAATTTATCATATTCCGGTTTTTTCTAGAATTGTATCTATTGATCTCACGATTTATTTGTTATGTTGATCCGATAATATAAGCTATAAAATTCAACGTCAGCTCTTATGGCCTTTTATCATGTTACCCCAGTCGAACTGAACATGTGTTAATGTAGTGGAATATCGTTACTATAAAGTAGAGAAAAGGGCTTTAAAAAATAATTGAATTGTGTAAATAAGATCACAGGAGATTGTAAATTCTGATTTTGATACAACTCGCAAAATAAAAGCACAGGAAATTATCGATAACTGTAAGGTATACGTTTTGTTTTTGTTCGATTAGATATTTAGCTAGTTAAGAGATTAGTCCATACAGTGATGAATTATTGGTTTCATGCTTAGAGCAAGCTTGGACTGCTAGTTTACCAGTGATGAATTGCTAGTTCAACGCTAGTGCAAGCTGGACTGTTAGTCTACGGGACGATCTCTTGACTTTCTTTTATGTATTTATTAAAAATATCATTTTATAAAGAACTTGAGAAAAAGATTTGCGAATCAATATTCGGGTAATCCGAAAGCTTATGTAAGATAAAAAAACCGAATCGCATTTTTTTTTTCAATTAGGCAGAACAACAGATACCTGCGTTTTGTTATGCAAATAGGAACATCAGTACTATAAACAGTCATTGCACAACTCTTGGAAAACATCAAAATGATGGTTCCGAAGGAACTTCTAAAGAAAAATGTTAAGATACAGGGAATAGAAAATCTATAAATGAGTTTGTTGTAACTACTGATTGAAAAACGATTAATATCAAACAAATTTAGATAAACAAGATGAGATAAATCTCTATAAACGGGAAATAAGCATCAGAGAATTTAATAATTGTTCCGTTTAATAATATTTTTAGGTTAATAATCCCAAAGAAAAAAGTTCTTTGAGGAAAAATAGCCAGGATGCTTATATATATGGGTAATTATTTTCAAAGGCGAACCAGAAATTTTCTGGCGTGATCTTAAAATTTATACTATATATGTATTATTTAAAAGCTGGGTCCGAAAAAAGGTCATATATAGCATTTTTATCGCCTTCAAAAATAATTATCCCTATACTATATCACTATCACTACATTTAACTGTAGCTAAATCAGCAGAAATAGTCAATAACTCAGAAATGACATAGAACTAATTGAGATAAAACAGGTTGAATATGAAATTGGCAGACCAATACAAGTATTTGTTTATTTGTAATCTTTAATGTTTTTATATAACTGATAATTATTATATTTAGTTTTCTATGATAAGATGCGCATTTATAAATATTGCTTAAAATTCTTACAGCTCTTCAAAAAAAAAATACAAAGAGGCTAGAAAAGATTCTTTATAAATATATTGTATATATTGCAACTATATTATAATTTATCAGACAACAAATCATATAAATATGTTAAAGGTTCTTTAATAAAGATAAAATTTCTTGGCACGAAGGTTCTCTAAAAAAAAATTGGAAACCTACTCAAGAAATTACAGAATATATCAACTAATTTACAGAAGAAACCTGATTGGAATTAATTTAAAATCATTTTTGATAGAATTATGGCAGAAAATCATGCTATATAGGTGATATGTGGGTATTGCAACTGTTGATATTCTCAATACTAATATAGTAAACACGGTAAAAATATAATCAAAAATTATTATCATAGAAATAATAAATTAAAAGGCAGTAAATTAGACCATATAGTGTATGGATTGACAGAAAATCAGTTAATAACGAGTAACAAAAAGAAATTGCTATTTTTGTTTTATGAAGGGTTTGTAAGTCTACAAATTCTCCTTTAATTCATGCTTTTTAATAACTAGCCCCTTATCTTTTCAATTTATTTAGAAAAAAAATAACCATACTTTGGCCTTGTTTAATTATATATTGTTAAGTAATTTTCTTGGTTTCTTTGACTTTTCTAATATTTATTCTATGAATTACAATTTTAAATCTTATTGTACAGTACAGTATTCATTAAAATAAAATTTCTTTTTATTAATAAAAACACAGCAGTTAAGCCAATAGCATTTTGCAAAAAATACAATACTAAAGTATATTGTATATAGCAAGGCATAGTGTCTATGACTTTTACATTGAAAAAATATTAATTAAACTATATGTTTTATATAAAATTTTTTATATACTATATTTTTAAAGTTATAATAATATTTAAAGTAAGTAAAAATTTAAATAAAGTAATAACCCAAGTACACCAATTATTCAATTAAAGTTTTATTTACTAAAAATAGTTTAGATCTCATAATATAACTATCTAATAATGTTAATTTAAATATAATAAGAATTTATAATCTGTAGTTTAGGAAAATGTAATATAATCAATAAGATAACAATATGAATTAGTAATAAAAAAATACAATTATATTTTATATTAAAGTTTAATTTAAGTCATATGTCATATATTACTATAAATAAATTTTTACTTAATTTGACATATCAACTTTGTTAGAATAAATTATTATATAATCATTATTTTTTAATAATATATTATATATGACTTTCTAAATTCAATTAAAAAAATATCTTCTCATTATTAATAATTTTTTAAGAAATAATTACAATCTTTTAAAATTACTTATTTTAAATAAACTTATTTTTAACTTAAATGTATTGATTATACTTTTTGTTTCCATATAATAATTAATGATGTTATATATATGCTTTACAAAAAAATTTAATGCAAATTTATTATAAACACACTTTTATTTATGAAATAAATATTAATTATATAATTATTATTTAGTTATAAATTTATTTTTATTTATAATAAAGTAAATAAAGTAAGATTGTTTTATATACCATGTCAAATATTGTAAAATATGATTCAGATCAATTAAAATAATACAATAAAAGGATAATATAAGTATTTTGTGCAAATATTATACAATGAACAACAATACTACTATCTGTTACATTATCTATATATACCATAGTACCGTATTATGAGATCTGATTGGTATAAATAATTGATTTAATTATTATAAAATGTAATATTGAAGAACTATTGTAAAAGTTATATAATTCTTTCACAAAAGTTGCTTAATTTTCTATTTCCATGTTTCTTATTTTTATAATTTATAATAGAAGAATTAATGTTAATAATAAAAAGACTTTGGTCAAATAATAATGCCTTACTACTTACTCTCTGTCTTAATTGTCTGTTGTTGTTACGTGATTTTTATTAGCAATAGATGACAGACTCGCCAGTTATCCATTTTGATATACAGTACATTTTATATGAATATAATCATAAATTTGCTTATTCGAAATGATCAAATGGTATAGATTTATTGTTTTTTTTTTTTTTTACTATAAATTAGCTACGTATTTTCAGTAATTTAGGGAGGGCGTGTATGCATTGACAGAGTTTTAGATTATTTTGTCATATTAGACCTAATTATGCAACCTATGATTTTGTAAAATAGATCAAACAATACTTTACTGGTAATATACTAGATATGACAGGAGTTTAATACGTGTAAATAAAACTTTTGATACTTAATACTAGAGATTGAATGATCTAATCTGAATTCAACAAGTATAACAAAAACTTATGATGTTATTAGACATAAAAGCTAACCATAGTATATTTGACGGCTACTTATATACTCAATTTACCTTAATAATTTCTAACTCTAATTTTTTCGTTTCAATAACATATTGTTACTCTTTAATAAAATATATCAACACTGAGTCATGTATATAAATTATTCATCATGAGCTACGTACTAAGTACTGTGTTTTTCGTCTTAGGAAATTTAGAAAAATTTTTTGTATTTTTAGAACCCTAAAACTTCGATAAAAAAAATGCTTGTTTTATAAAATCAAGTTTTATATTAATTGTATAAAATATTTCTTTGATGATAATTAAATGTCACCCGGAATTTCTAAAATTGCTCGTTTCTTCTTTTTTACAAAATAAATTACCATCCCACAAACTATTAAGAGTCCTAGTAACACAAACGTAACACTCAAACCAATTAATCTTTTATTTTCGCCAGTATTTGAGATCAGTATATCATTAGTAGTTGAAGCACTAATAGTTGAAGCCCCAGTACTTGAAACAGATGAACTAGTCGACGTATTAGTTGCCGAAGGAGCAAATGAATAGACCCATGAATAGCTTGTGGTGTCAAGAATATATAGTCCGGTATTAAGATTCCAAATACCCGTACTGCCTTGTGCAAAACCTAATTTGATTTAACAAGGGAATTTGTTAATTTAGTATAAAGAAATATAAAATATGGCTATAATATACGTGCCAAATGCAATAATCATGTAATTTTTATATAAGGTTGAAGAATGACGGTTTAGAGGTGGTGGTGAATTATAAGTTGTCGGAGTATACCAACTGTATGACGCGGAACTTGTATTCAATATAACGAGGCTTGGATTAACTGGAGTGACAAAGTCCAGATTCACTCCACCATAAATAATAATATGACCATTACCCGCTTTAACATAAAAGAATTAAATATTATTTTACATTTTTGAGGGTATGTTTAATAATAAGTATACTTACCGAGTACGGCAGTGTGATATGCACGCCCTTGAAGCTTATTTCCAGTAATGATCTACGTATTTACGTACTGTATCAGTGCTTTCTGAAAGTATATTTTTAATAATGGCGAAAAACAATACTTACAGCCGAACTCCAGGTCAAAGAAACAGTGTCAAAAAATCTAAGCTGTTTATGGTTATAACCATTAGCATTTATTTGTTCTAAAATGTAAACTAGAGGTAAAGAATTTTACTTGGTTAAAATCAACAAGTCTCCGAGTTGTATTACTAAGGCTAGTATATTCTCTTCCTCCTATATAAACAATAATCTCATTTTCTAATAGTGTTGCAGTATAATCCACCCGTGGGTTTGGGTAACTTTGATCGGCTAGGTAATTAGTCCAAACACTCTTGCCAATATCCAGAATATGCATATCGTTAAAATAAATGCCAGAAAGAGGTGTATAGTTGACAAATACGGCTCCACCAAAAATATACACTTTTCCTAATTTGTCTACCACACCCATCATTTCTTGTCGCGCCACTAGAGCATCTCCACTCGAAATAGAAGGCTTCCATTCGTTATTATCACAATTAAACGTGTATAATGAAATTTTTGAAAGATTATAATTAAGACCACTGATGGCGTAAATAATAGATGCGTTAATCGGACTAACGATTGAAGTGAGATAGTATGTAGGGAAATAAGAACCAGTTGTATTCACGAGTACCCATGATGGATCATTAGTTTGAAACGGTTTGGATAGGTCTAGGTAAAGTGTATCATTTAACCCGCCTCCAAAATAATATATTCTAGTGCCAACTAAGTTTTGTGCATGAGCGACTCTTGGCTTTGGTGTAAAACAAATTGCCCCAGAAATAAAAACTAAATGTAAGATTAAACGTATATTAAGAAACATATTTTAGTAATTAAGAATGTATAATTAATCCGTATTGCTTATAGATAGTTAATAGTTAGCATTTATATAAACTTTATATAAACTCAGGATATGATTTATTCTTAAATTTGAAATACACGACTTTATTTATTCTAATTATAGTCACACGGGAAAAAGTCCTGTTTAGTCACGCGTACTAACAAATACTTCTTTTTTTGTTACATTAACTTTAAAATATCTGTAGATCATGTGGTACGATCGCGAAAATGAAAAAAAATTTGTATGACATT